CCTCACAGACTGATAAGACGCAGATTGATATTAAAGATCCTCTCCATAATCTATCTTATCTCACACCCACTATGCCCTCAATGCAGCCAGAACTACCCACTGTTGTCAAGGTATGTCTCACGACATCCTCCTTCTAAGACTTGGTCCACATTGTTTACATTACCTGGAATGTCCTTCTTTCTCACTTTTTTTTTTTTTTTTTTGAAAAAAAAAAGCCCAATTATTCTACAAGGACCAGCTCAAATACTACTTCATCTGCAAAGCCTCCCTGGATCCCCATCACATTCCCTGCTTTTGGCTTACTCTCCCTTCTGCCAATATATTTACTAATTGACTACATATAGTGCTGCCCAGTCTGTTCCAAGTACTAGACTAGTCATAATGGTGAAAGGAAACATATTAACAAACTCAGATGTATTCCCCGCTAAGGAACAGAATTAAGCAATGCTTCCAATCAGACTTGGGTACATCACTGACCAGTCATGGTCATCTGGATAGCCTCACTGCGCCATACCTCCTAATCTCCATACTGACCCAATCCACTGCATCAAGCTCCTGCTGTAAGGCCCACTCTGTTGTCTATGTTGTTGCTTTTCCTAGCACCCCAGACTCCCTCAAAGAACTGGAACCTGGTTCCAAATTCCCAAGCTCATTTGGCTGGGGTTCTCAGGCTTCTTCCTGATCCCCACACCCGTCATCACTGGCAAAAGTGATGTTAGGAATGGCTAGACCTCACGGAATGGCAACGTAACTCTGCCAGACTGAATTCTTGGCTGCTGCCTAAACCCTCTTGATGCTGTTTTATAAGCACTAAACTGGACCACTCAATATTGGAATTTGGCTGAATGACATCTGTGCCCACTGAACCACACATGGACACCCTGAAGTCCTTGCCAGGGCTAGTCTCTGGAACCCGACAAGTCTTCCCCAGGCCATGTCCTTCATTTTCAACTTGCTCTTCCCTCCTCTCTTTCTTTTTCTAACACTGGATTTACCATTCTTCCAGGTGAAGCATAATAATTGCTATGGGGACTCACCTGGTCACCTATAATTTCTCTATATATCTGTCTAACGATCCCTAATAGGGACTAAAGATTGTCTTCTTTCCTCCACAGAAGTTTAACACGATGCAAGATGAGTAAACAATAAGAAAACATGGCTACACAGAGTGCTAAGAGGCTGTCCTCTAGCCAATACCTGGAGGGGTGACTCTACCACAAGTGGCAGTGACCAGAAGAAAAAAAAAAGTAGCTGTCAGAAAACCACAAAGTCTCCTTCTCCAGCTTCCTTCACATTATGTGTCCCTTTGCTCTTCTATATAAGTTCTACAGCATACTTACCTCTTTGGCCCTCATATTCTTAGTCTTACTGTCTAAGCACCACACGAGGTACTTAAAATTTGGCAAAATGGTTGCTATACACAGTGGATTAATACAGCTTTATAGGTGGGATTGTATCAAATATTCTCTTAATAATATCAACATTCAAACTCATCTGGTGTTTTTAAAAGGCTGAAGAAAGAGTAGCTTCTCACCTCGTATTAAATCATGAAGGCAATATGTACAATTTTTTAAAAAATATATTATTACAAAAATTTCAAACATACACAAAAGTAGTGAGGAAAGTTAATGAAGCCATATGAACTCTTTACCCAACTTAAACAATTGTCAACTGATTCATGACCAGTCTTCTTTTATCTGTAATCCTCCCTACCCTCTTATCCTCCACCAGGGTTGTTCTGAAGCTAATTCCAGACATACTATCACTTTACATATATGTATTTCTACTCATATCACTTATAGATAAGATCATTTTTTTAAAAAACAACAATATCATTATTAAACCTCTAAAATCAATAATTCCTTAATTTCATTAAATATCCAGCCAGTTTTCAAATGTCCCCATCTGTTTTATTTGCTTGAATCATAATCAAATTAGGTCCATACATTGGCACTGGTCTCTTAAATCTTTTTTATGCTACAGGTTTGCCCTCCCTCCTGCCCCCATCCTTGAAATTTATTTGTTGAAGAAAATAGTCTGTAGAATTCCTTACAGTCCAGATTTTGCAGATATACTCCCTCTTAGTGTCACTGAACATGTTCCACTTTCCCCCGTATTTCCAGGAATATGGTAGCTGGAGCTACAGGCTGGAGCATATTTAGTTCAATTTTCTGGCAAGATTGCTTCATAGCAGGTGGGGTATATTAACATCAGAAAGCATGTAATATCTAGTTGTCTCTCTTTTTGTGAGTTTAGTAACCAATGACAATCACTAGCTATATCCATTACTTCATTAGAGAAAGGGAAATGATGATATGGTGACTTTCTATGACTCTTCCATCAATTAACAGCTGGGATACACCAATAATGAGACATTTCTTCTCATCAATTACTTGGTTACCCTGAGCTCAAATAGGAACAACAGGGGGAAAAAAAAATGCTTGAGTCTTTCCATTTATTATCAATTTTCAAAATGAGTTAATTTTCTAGCCTCCTCCAAAGCTGACCAAATATTATTAGTTTTTTTTTTCTTTAGTATTACTGTGACCTTAGGGTTCATATACATTTAATGCTTTTCAATACACTGAAATTATTATCATTACTAATCCTCAAACTGTCCCATCTTTGCCTCTTGAGTCAGGAATTTTTGATAGCTTACTTGCTTTCTGACAAGATATACCAAGTTCATCTGTACATTTCTGTGCCTGAACAGAAAGTAGCTATTCTCCAACGAGTCTTCATTCACTTAAGTAGGAATTGGTATTTAGAGACTATAGTCTGGGTACCAAGGGTGCTCATTGTTACTGGGTTGATCCTTGTTTCCTGGCAATGTATCAGGAAAGAGCTAGAAAATTTACAATCACAAGGCATTTCTTAAACCTAGCTATCTATGTTTCTCCTTTAGACCACACCAAAAGTCTGGGTTCTCAATGATAACATATTAGCCATGCATTTGCTTTACCCTATAAAATCCCCACAAAAGCCTTAGAATAACAATACCAACATAACCACCATAATATGATTACTCTAACAGTTTAGGATTATTTTTGTGGAGATGCTTTGTCCTTCATTAGTAATCTATTGGGGATATGTAGTCAAGTTTACTGACATTTGAAATAGTCCCTCTCTGTATGGTTATGCCAGAAACTTGATTTGTAATTAGACTTACCTGTTTCATTTTGTTTCAATTTTAAGGGCTCTTTTACATTTGAATTTTGGTTTAAAATTATGTAAAATATGCACACAGTTCCAAAGTCAAAGAGACAAAACAAGATATATTCTAAGAAGTCTAGCTTCTACTCCTTTCTCCACCACACTGTTCCCTCTGTTACTGTAAAGATAACCATTAATTATTGTTTTAAAATTTGTTTTATCCTTTCTTTTTAAATTTTTTTAAATATCAGCACTGCCACCTCTTCCTTTGATGAATGATACACACTATACCCTCTTGTCTCTACCCTGCTTCCTTCAATGAAGATCACTCCACAGCTGTACAAAGAGATACTCTTCAGTCCTTTTTACAGTTGTAGATGTAATAAGTTATTCAACAAATCATGTGTTGACCAACATCTGGGTTGGTTCCACCTTTTGCTATTATAAACAGTGCTGTGATAAATAGCCTCATGTAAATGTCTTTTCTTATTTTACCAGTGTGACATAGAGATAGATCCCTAGAAATAGAGTTGCTGGGACAAAGGGTAAAATAAATGTTATTTTTCTAGATACTGACAAATTCTCTTCCCTAGGGTTTATACCATTTTCCATTTCCTCCAGCAATGTTTGAGAGTACCTGCTTCCCTCCATTCCCTCCACAATCTCATTAACAGAATAGCTTGTCAAACTTTTTCATTTCTATCAATATAATTGGTATGTAGTAGTATTTGTCTGCATACTTTTTTCTTTTTTTTTTGTGACTGGCAGGTACAGGGATCTGAATCCTTGACCTTAGTGTTATAACACCATACTCTAACCAACTGAGCTAATCAGCCAGCCCAGTGTTTGCACACTTCTTATCACTAGAAAGGTTAAGCACCTTTTTCTATGTTTAAGAGCCATTTGCAATTCTTTTTCTGTAACCCACCTGTTATCTTACACAATTACCTATTGAGCTGATAGTTTTACTCAATTTTTTAGGGATATAAACCCTTTGTGATATAAACTGCAAACATTCTTTTCCAATTTCACTTGTTTTTTTTACTTGACTTTTGTTTTCAGCTATACAAAAGTTATTATTTTTGTCATCAAACTTATCAGTATTTCCCTTATTGTATCTGGATTTTGAGTTACAGTTAGGGTATTTATTCCACTTCCAGGGTCAGAGGAATTCACCAATTTTTTTCTTACTACTTATATGGTTTCATTTTTGTATGTTCTGTCTGATTCATTTGTAATTTATCCTTAGCATAATATAAAGAATAAATCTAATACTGTCTTCCTTCATTATACACTAAAAACCCATGTACAATGGCATGTATTTTTTCATTTTCTGTTCAGTTCTATTAATTTGTCTTGTTAAGCACCAATCCCATAGTTTTAATCATAGAGGCTTAATCATATGTTTACGATGGGGCTACAACCCTCCTCCACTGCTCCTCTTATAAGGGTGTTCCTTACTATCCGTCCTTTTTCCTTTCCAATGAAATTTATAATCAACTTGCCTACCTCCAAGAACATACACACATGAACAATCACAATAAAATTATAAATTAAGGGGACTGACAAATTTGTGATGTTGCAACTAAAAGCTAGGTATGAGGACTAAAGCTTGGGGGGGAAAGCCTTAAAATATGTTATCATTCTGTGCTTGTGAAAAGATATAGTTTGAACCCAGAAAGCCTTTGCTCCACTATCATGAGAAACTTTTATTTATACAAACTTACATTAACTTGCAAAGGAACACAATTCATTTCATTTGTAATGTGTATTATATATAACTAATCAGACAAAACAAAACAATCAAATAACCAAGCACACAAGACATTAATAATGTACTTGCTCACCTTCTTTTTTCAGCCATTTCACAATGTTCCCTTCTTCCATGGTCGGAGACAGTGATGGCATTAGTATCTTAATAGGGTCAACTGAAATTTAAAAAAAGAAAGATCAGCCACAAAAAATAAAGTACCTCATGAGGCATCAATGTAAGTTCAAGTAAGTTAATGTCAAATTCTCTTTCAGAAAGAATATTCCAAAGTCTAAAAGACTCCCAACTGTAAATTGTGTCTAGTAAATAGTATGGAAAAATAAAATTCTCAACTTTTTAAAAAAATAAAACTTTTTTTTGGAATACTTTCAACTCCTTCCCATAGTTCCTCAGTCCTCTATGCATACTTTCAAGCCCAGTGCTTACAAGTTAATAAAAAGAAAAATTGATTTAGTTTTCATCTCCTCCTCTCCTTCTTGTCTTTGCAAAAAATATTCACAGGTAAAATGATCAAAGAAAAAAACATAAAACAAACAAACAACAAATAAAGAAGTAACAAGGTTCTGATGACCTATAAAAGAATAATCAAAATCAGATTTTAAGCTGGTTGTTTTCATTTTCCTCTAATATTACACTATTCAAGATTCAAAGTTTCCTGCTGTTAAGTATAAAAGGAAAAGTTTACCTTGTCAAGGATGATTAAGCAAGAGAACCTAGGTGGCTAAATTAATCTCAGATTCTGTTCCATATCACAATTCAAATGGGGATCAAAAAGGTAGACCTCAAACCAGAGACTCTCAATGAAGCATAACTACTTTTTCATTTGACATCAAAAAAGAAGACGCTAAATATTTGTCTAGCTGCTCTTCCCAGTAGTCGCCCACTGTCCAGGACCATACTCGAAGGGCACACAACTTTTAGATTACAATTTATATAAAGTTTATACTAACAAAACACCATGGTAACAAATTACTTTCCCTGAAATCTTCCATAGAATCTACTATTCTCTTCTCAGATTATTCATCTCTCCAGATACAAACAACCAAAACACTATGGCATAACTAACATATTCCACATGTGGAAAAGGACAGACAGAAGTGATAGAGGTGTTTGATAGAGGTGTTTCCATCCCTCTGAAGGATTTAGAAGAAAATTTTTGTCTGCTCTCCACTTTTCCTTCACTCCTCTTTAAAGAACTGGGGGAAAGAACTTGAGCATGCATATCTGCCTCAGCCTTTTCCTCATTTTCTTTTTAGAGCTTCCTGCCTATAGGGAATCTGCGTTTTCCCCTCAGCTCTTCCATGTGCCAGGCATAAATGCACCTGCCTTTCAAAAGCCCACCTCTCTCTGTTTCAGTTATCAGGGCCCACCGGGTGTGAAGCAGCAATTCAGACATGTGTGTTCACTTGTATACACAAACCCTCCCTCTGAAACAAAAAGCCCAAAATCTAAATACAGGGTTGTACTAGGAAGCCCAAGTAAAGAAGGCCACAGATCTAAGTTACATACTCCAATTCAACATAACCATCTGCATTAAGACTGTTACTTGGATCTCCATCTGTCTGACTCTTTTCCTCTCTCTCAATTGGTACCAAATTCTAAGAAGGCTAGAAAAGTAGTTTTCACTCCTAATGCCGCAAAAATGATAGAGCCTAAACCGAACTTCAAGTCAACATGCCCATTTCTATGAGAAAATCACACTCCAGATTGCCTGCCTAACTTTCAAGGCTGTACTCTACTATACTGTGCTTTTCGAAGTCTTAGTGTTCCTTACAAATATGGGTCATCGGTTAATCACTGGTTATTTATAGCATATTCACCTAGAAATTTAAACATAGCAGACCAGACATACCAACTCCATTGAGCATTCTTCATATGTCTAATCAATATCCTAATAAAGCCTTTCTCTACCTTGGGCATACAGAATTTCTGTATTGAGAAACCACTTTTACTGCTGACAATGAATATTTCAAACATGGAACAGAACAAGGTAATCTCTAAGTGCACTGTATACTGAAAGCACAAGAGGAAAAATAGTCACAGTGAGTTTCCTAATCCTTAATGTACTATTAAAACACAATTATTTCAGAAGAGATTAGAGAACACAGGCCACCCAACTCCCATCCACTATGACTATCAATAACTACTGCCACAATAGTTTCATTTAATTCCCAAGCTACCTCTAGTTTGGAATGCAAATCCTAACTAGAATATAGCTTTAAAAATCTTTGCATTTTTTTCTTAGTGGTATGGACTAAGATAGGCACATTAAGATATTAGTAGGTAGAAAATAATGCAAACTATGCACAGCCTCAATGCATTGTTGTCAGTAAAACACTGGAACACCAAATTCCAAAGTGAACTAGAATTAGGGCACTGTGCTTAAGGAAAATTCACACACACACTCACACACACATACACATACTTATATTGTAACATTAGTGATGCATCTCCAAACCCAAACCATAACAGTACTACATTTAATTGCAATTATTCTTAAAAAGTGCTCAAAGCTTAATACACTAAACACATTTGGAATTAATGAAATAAGTTTTCTATTCTCCTGAATTATGTTGTGTGTCTATTGCCTGTTTCATTTCTTATGTGGTTTGATGAACAAATAAAAACATTTGCCTACAGAATGTATAGACAGCTCAAGCCTCAGCAATTATTTTATTTAAGGTCATAGTGACAAATGGGCTTTATGTAAAAAACAAACAAAAAAAAGCAAAAAACCCCACTTATCTTCTATTTAGCATCATGGTAAGAGGCCAGCCTCTTCTTGAAAAGCATAGCTTAAAAAAAAAGTCCCAGTAAGTTGCTCTGTCAAAAAGTTCAAGCTTGGCATTACAAGATGGAATAGTTCATAAAAATATACATATTAAATTTATATATCAAATAGAATTACACTTCAAAGAAGCAAAATAAATGAACCTAAATGATTCTACATCCAGATTCCAATTTATGACAAATACTAAATTGATTTACTCAAAACAAAGTGTCTCTTCAATATTTTTATACTTTAGTTCTAGCTGCCACAACACAATTCAGATTTATTTTATGATTTTATCTCCTATAATAATCTGTCACCTAAGAGATCTTCACATTTCCATTATTCCTGACATTAAGGTCCATATTATAAAACTTCTGCATTTATTATTATCTTCCAAATTACCACATCAAGAACCTCAAAAATTTTCACATTTTAAAAATAAAAAGAACATAGTCATTCCTCATAAAGTCACCCTTCATGGATGAAGTGAAATTGTTTCTCTGAATAATGATAATAAAATATAAAAATTCTGTAACAGATCACTATCCTCACTCTGAAATGATGGTGACAAAAATCAAAGAAAGATATTTTGGACACGTCTATTATTCAGTACTATCTCTTGATTCATTATACTGGCTTGTTATGGAGAGTAGAATGTGCAATATATTTTCTGATTACTCTAACTTATCTATCCTCAGACTTTCATGCTAGAAAAACCATGTCAAAACATAAGCATTAAGTTATTAGTAACAGCACATATTTCAGTCTACCGTAGAATATCCTCTTTTGATTAAACATTATATGGTATACATTTTTTCAAAATGTATTTTTCTGATGGGAAAGTAATTATACAATCATATTGGCAGCTTTGAGTGACAGGGCTGCATGTAAGTAATATCTGCCCTTTCTGGTTGCTGTCGACACTATTAATATAGTGTGATGTGAGCTTTTCTAGACTCTCTGTAATGAAATTTTAACCTGCACTTAATATTATTTAACTTTCATTAGAAATTAAATATAGCCTCCCTCTTCATTCAGTATGCAGTACACTCTACCACTCTCTTGTCAAATTGAGAAAGCCTTGAAATGTGCACCAATTATATTTCCTACTAATATTAACTAGGCACAACTATGGTTTGAAAAAGGAAATGTGGAAGGACACATAAATGAGAGGAGAGTTGAGTGAGTGAGGGACCCAATGGCAACATTTGAGTCCTAGAATCCATCCATGTTTATGCCATTCTGAATTCTAATATTCTCAGGTATTAAGGCAATAAATTCCCCCTTGCACTTGGAAAAAAAAATAAAGGAAATATGGTTTTTGCTCCACTGGTTATACAGGTTATTTCAATTGGTACTCAAAAAATACTCAAAATTTAGTTAGAATTTAACGCTTTTTATAGTCATTTTAGTGTTCTGTTCCTTTTCATAAAGCTAGCAAATTATGCCTGATTGGCTTGTAAAGTCTGACCCTCTGTAGCAGTTATAAAACACATTTAAAAAACTTTATGATCACTACAGTTATGTATATTTCCAGTAATTCATCTTTAAACATACTTATTTTAAAATTAAAGTCTCACAAATCATTAGAACTGTCATTTTTTTGCTTCAAATGAATGACACAATAAATTAAAAAATTTTTGCTTAGTATATATATTGCTGCTTTACCTACCATATCAGACATGAGCAATCTATCAATCACAGAATTACACAGTAGTTTCTCTAAGCAATTCCTGTATTTCTTCAAACCTGCTCTTCCAGTTTTTCTACAGCATTATTCTGACTTCAACTTCAAATATGGTACACTACTTTATTTCTAATTTCTTGTTCCCTAAACTATTTCTTTTTTCCTAAGAACAAAACACTCACATTTCAGCAAAATCAATTATACGAAAGCTTTAACTTGATAATCTATACATGAATTCTAAAAGGTCTCCAGTTTAAAAACAAAATTAAAATAGTAAACTCTTAAAATACAAATGCAGGACAAATTGCTTTGTGGTTAATACGAAGCAGATCTAAGCTCCATACTTAATTACTCTGACTAAAGTATTAAGGAAATTCAGCAGTTTACATATGGTATAGTTTAGAAGTCATGCTCTAGTCTACTTACAGGACTATAATCCAAGCACACAAAATTCATAAAATGAAGACAGACCAAATGAAGTAAATTACTCAATACTTCTTTAGTATGGCTCCCTCTCCCCAACATTAGTTTCTTCTCTAATAGGAAGAGAGACTGCTCATTTAATCACTTCTCGTTCCAGTACAAGAACTCGTTAAATAAAATTGAACCTTTAAAATTGCTGTTTAAATAAAACAATTCTGCCATCTGCAGGCTAGATGAAATAAAGCAGAATGAAGTAAAGGTAATTTAAAAACCA